TATGCAGAAGCATAAGACCGAACGCCACGTTGCTTGCCTTGGCGTAGTCCTCCATGGCGCGTGGGTCTGCAAACGTCGGCGACGTCTCCCGGTTCACGACATGCCACGTCGACTTCGTCAGGAACACGCCACGCATGTAGCGGCTCCATTGCCGCGTAGTTGTCACCGTTGAACTTGTCAATGGTGACCTTGGCATCGTGCGAGGGATTCATGGCGCTTGGGCTCATAACCTGTTGGCGTCGGAAGTTGGGGCGGACGAGAGAGTCTGCGCTTGGACGAGCCGAAGAAAGACACTTGCTCTGAAGAATGGAAATTGGAAAGTGATTGATTATCGGAGCTTATCTGCCTACGCCCTGATTTATATGTGTCCACATATAAATCAGTCGGCGCGTCCAATCACCCTACTCGTCTAATCATCTCTGAGGTAATTACCGACGTAAGAACTATCCCGTAAAAACTACGCTTAAGTTCGGGTTGTATCGGTAACCTTCAATAAGGCAGGACCACCTTTTCAACGATAGTCCCCACACCTTTGATAGCTGCCTTGTTGCCATCAGCCACCAGGATCTCGCCATCAGTGCCTTCGACCAAGCTTGTAAACTTGAACTTGTCGTGGCAGATGTGATGTGTTGCCCCGTTGTCAACGGCCCACATCCCTGATCCATTCTTGCTCGTAGAAACGCCGCATTCGAACGAAACTGCAAACGCCACTCGATCGTAGCTGCTGCCTTCATCATAATGTAGCCACTGGACATTGCTTGCCCCGCGTCCACGACCATTGCCGCCGCGTCGGGCTCCTCGACTTTCATCCTTTTGCTTCGTCCAGCAACGCTCTGCCGTGTGCCCGACCTTGCCACAATACGTGCATTGGTAGGGCTCGCGCTCGGTACTGAATGCCTTTGTCGCATCTTCAGCCTCTTGAAAGGTCAAGTGCTTAGTTGTTGGCAAAATGCAAAGTGAATATATTAGTTGGTCCTTAGTTCGCAAACTGCTTGCTACCTCTAAGCCACTCATTTTAATATACTGCGCTCACTATACCCGATTCTGATTTACCCTCAGCCAATAAGCGCGTGGCTTCTCCGTGGCCACTCATTCTGCCATCAACTTGAGCGCAACAAAACCGGTAAGTAAGTGCTGTTGAAGAGAAGGCGTCTCGACCGACGAAGGAATACCGGTAGATACTGGTATGGCACTTACTTACCGGTTTTGTTGTGCCTAAGTTGAAGGCAGAATGAGTGGCCACGGAGAAGCCACGCGCTTATTGGCTGAGTGTAAATCCTCAGAATCGGGTATAAGTGGAGCGCAGTATATTAAAAGGGGCTTAGGAGGTGGAAAAGCAGTTTGCGAACTAAGGACCAACCAATATATTCACTTTGCATTTTGCCAACAACTAAGCA